CTTCGAATCCTGTTCGCAGTACAGTAAGCCTCAAACTTACTGCTATAATACTCGCCATCATTATCTGATTTTGGGCACTTCAATTTCATCACTTTTTTATTCTCAATTAATGTTTTTCAATTCTTAAAAACATCAAACATAGCAGATTTATGCTTAAGAAGATAAACCCATAATTTTCTAGTAGCATTATCAATGAAAGTAACAAAATAACGTGAACCAACAACAGAAAATACCTTTGGTGGACCCTACACGTCGTTATAAACAAGCTCCAACTTCTCCATTTTCAGTGTCCTTGCCACCTCTGTAAAGCTGACCTTCTTTTGTTTCCTAAGAACACAATCCTTACAGAAGTACAAATCCAGCGACTTACAAGCTGACAATTTCTCCTTCGACATCATTACTTTCATCATTTTTTCGCTCATGTGACCTAGCCTACGATGCCACATAGTGCAGTCAATCCCTGATACTGTCAATGTGATACTATTGTAAGTACCCGAAGAAACATATAGAGTTCTTTCTTTTTTACCACCAGCAAGAATCAAAACCCCCTTACTCATCTTCTAAGCATCTGTTGTAAACAATGTAACCACTCCATTTTCTGAGAACTGACCCACTGAAATAAGATTTCGTGTTAGACAAGATATGTGTCTAACATCTTTCAATTTCAGAATCGTCCCATTTTTCTGAGTAATCTGCACATCTCTTTTTCCAACTATATTGGTTTCATCATCGCCCAAATACACTTTACCAAAGTTTCCCTACACATAGTTTTGTAGCACATCCATGCGTAGGGTAGCATGGAATGAAGCTCCAGAATCTACATTCCAAGATTTACTGCGAGAATCTAGCGAACAAATCAAAGTATCATTACTAGACTCATCAATAATATAAGTAGTATTTTTAGCTCTTTGATTATTCTCATTCTGCTCCTTTCTTAGTGCCTTGCAGTCCCGCTTCTAGTGCTCCTTCTGAACATAGTTTTAGTAGCCCTCATCTCCGCCATGAGATTTATTTCGGCTTCTGTTTGTCGAATACGACTTTCTTTTGCCCTTTTTTATTGTCTCCCTTATTCATAGACTTGCCTCTCTCCTCCGTATTGAGTGCTGAACCTTAAACAACATCCTCATCCTATGCTCTTCTCCGAGTCTCTTCTCCTAATATCAATGCCACAACATCCTCTAGTTTTATCTTTGCAGACCTAGAACAATTACTTACTGCCACGACAAGTCCATTCCAGCTTTTTGGCATAATTGATAAAAGGACGAGAGCTCTAATTTCATCATCAAAAACAATACTCACGGATTCTAACTGATTCGTGACCGTATTAAATTCATTGATATGTTTAGCAACAATAGTATTTTCAGATATCTTTAGGTTAAACAATTTTTTCAAAAGATATACCTTTTTCACCGCTGAAGGCTTTTCGTACACCTTTTCTAGGGATTTGAACAAATCTGATGTAGTATTTTCTTTGGCGATGTTCGACGCAACTGACGGCGCGAGGCACAGTCGCACAATCTCTAGGGTTTTGCGATCCAGAACAACCCACTTTGCTTGCTCCATATCCGCTGGCTTCGTGTCATTGATAGGTTGATACAGATTCTTCTAATATAAAATATCCACAAGAAAGAACAAGACACACAAATTTTACGTGATTCGGTAATTTGACTATATCCACAAAGCTGCAGGAATTTCACTATTGAGAGGGAGCAATACAGAGGCGATTGTACAATGCACATAAAACCCTAATCACCAAAATAACAGATTTTATATCGGCCAAAGCCTCCACTCCATGGATTAAGTCTTAAAAAATTTCTAATTAAAAATCACGCAAACATTATTTCGGATCGAGTCATCATCCGAATCAACACAAAACTAGACTCCACAAAGAAAAACCCAACAGAGGTAATCACCTCCAAAAGGCGACGTCATACCTTGAGAAAAATTCCATAAATGGCCAAATATTCTCTAACATGTTTGCTATAGAATTCATGATTACTAGTGTATAAAGAGTAAGCCCTAGACATTGCCCTAAATAAGAGAAAATTCTATTGTGCTCGTCTTCTTCCTTGAGCAATGCATGAAGCAAGGAGGAAAAGATGTTATACAGTTGACTACTACTACTTTGTAGAGGGAATTTTTTTTATTATTTTTTTATCAGTCTCTTTAGCAGGATGAATCACTCAAAACTTGTGCATTCTTACTTGTCTTAAATTGTTATATTCAAGTTTTTGTTACTGTATTTGAACTTGATAGAGAGAGAGAGAGAGAGAGAGTATTTGAAAAATTATGATGATAAGTTTGAACTTGATTTTTTTTTAGAGGTTAAGCCTTGATTTTTCAGTATTTTAGTTTTACTGTTAATTTTTTAATTTTTTTTAAATAAAAATTTATGACTTTTTAATTTCACGGGCTGAATTAATAGGTCTAATCTACTCAAGTTGAAATATTTTGTTTGGGTTTAAATTTAAATTTTTTGTGGGGCTTATTTTTTATGAATTCAATTTTTTTGTTTGAATTATTACTACAATCTATAAATCATGAGGCTTTCCTTAATTAAAGTGGCACCTAAAGTCAGGTTTTATTTGCCTAATGATCGGGCCGGCCATGTATGGGATAATGCCAGTCAAATTCTTCCTTAGACGGCTTTCTGGAACCTCGGTGTGCTTATTGGATCTAAAAAAATGCAAATGTGTTGTAACACATGTATGCGTATGTGTTGTATCACTCGGTGGATCTCTAACCGAATATTTTTCCTTTCTTTTCACTATTATTAAAACATGAGTGTTGTTGCTTTGTTGGTTGTGGTAATTCTTCAGCGTGGTATCACCCCAGTGAAATCCGGTCTTTTGATACGACTGTGATTGAGATTGGATATGCCCGTTGAGCTTCACTTATGGACAGAAGTTCTGCTATTTTAATTTTCCTAAAATTTCCCACAATGTTTGAACATTTTTCTTTGGAACTTTTTAGTAGAATTAATCAATTATATTATCCAAGAATGAAACTTTGATAATTTTCTCAACGCTGCCCCTTGTTGGAATTGTCCCATTTTTCTAGTTCATGGGGTGGTATATGAAGTTGTCGATATTGCTGGTGCGGAGCCTGGTCCTCTGAATTAAAGCGGAAAGAAAGAAAATTGGATTCCTTCCGAGTATGTCGCTACCTTGTCCAATGGTAAATGCTGGATGTTGGGATGAGATCGGAGTGGATTTAATTGCCGAATTAAAACTATAATTTGACTCTTGTTGATGTCCAGAGGTTTGTAAACTAATTTGAGTTATTTTGCATGTTTTGACAGGATTTGACTTCAATACCGAAGGAGATATGATCTTTTGCACTATTTCATCTTTTGGTTGCTATGTTTAACATCATGAAAGAAAACAAGGTTTATATTGATATATGTTTCAGACTGACTTGCAGACATTACAAAATATGTACTGAACATATATAGGGTCCGATTAATAAGTGATATCATATTGATTACTATTGCTTAAAAATTGCATTTAGCGTAAAACTTTGACAAATTCAACTGACACAATATGAGAAATTGAGGTAGTTCGATCTTTGCCAGTACTGGCATTTTTTGAAGCGGACATCACTTACGAATTGATTTATTAAGCATCAAAAAGTAAGATGAAGGTCTAATCCATTCTTAGTCATCTTGTCTTTCCTTGTGTTCTTGTCAAAACTACACATAATCTTCCCACTCAAATGAAGAAGTCCAGCTGGGTTCGTAGATCCAGGTCTATTTGTTCTTTTTTAATGGGATGATGATCAAGAGAGATGTAAAAAGTAGATTATACTTCAATCTAGTTAAGGGAGTGTGGGATCCAACAAAAGATGCGAGTTTTTATTTACAAGCATCCAGTATAACGCTTTCACACTCAGTAAAGGAATCTAGATTTAGTATTCTTTTTCTATTTGAATGAGAAAATCCGAGCTTGGCCTTCTTTGTTGTATGACTTGTTTTCTTTAATTTGTGAAATCTGAATATTGGGTGATCACATTCATCTCAGAACTTTTGGCTACGGTGACGAATGTTTCAATAACTACTCATTGAGAAAATTGTCATCTTAATTGGATAGTTTAACAACTCATTGAGAAAAGTGTAATTGAAGGTTATGGCCTATTCAATATTCCGTTGTTGCATAATTAAATTTGGTTAGTGTTGAAAACGAATCTTTTGAAAAGTCTCCCAAAATTGTTTGGAATAATCATTGTTGTCACAGATGCTCAGTCTTTCTCACTCACACACACAACCCTACTCACCAACCAATAAATTGACATAATTAGGAAACTCTGGACTTTATCTCTAGCTATAATGTCTTGTCATAGTCCCACTTGGTCGCCTTGGTGCATCATTGAGGTATATAAAGTAATATTACATTACCTGTTCAAAACAAATGTGCTGGCTCAAAATGGGGGTCTTTTTTAATTTGTGGGGGCACAAACCATCAGACCCTGCGTTCCCATGCTGTGCCACTGAACACTTTGTAAGTTTTTGAAAAACAAATGTGCTGGATTTACTCATACTTTCTAACCCAGCCATATTAGATGATTCGTGAGATTTAATGAGANACATTACAAAATATGTACTGAACATATATAGGGTCCGATTAATAAGTGATATCATATTGATTACTATTGCTTAAAAATTGCATTTAGCGTAAAACTTTGACAAATTCAACTGACACAATATGAGAAATTGAGGTAGTTCGATCTTTGCCAGTACTGGCATTTTTTGAAGCGGACATCACTTANCATTTTATATTGTTATTTGGGTTTAGCTTGTTAATTTAATTTGTTTGGCCTATTCTATTGTTGTCATTAGGTTTATAGCAGCTAAAAAATGCTGTGGACCAATAATTCAAGAATCTCTGCTTCACAGCTTAATTATGATGTTTCTCTGATAAATCCACTACACCATGTGAACAGTAGTATCAAGTAACCACAGTTTTAACCTCCCATTGACTGTACCTTCCTACTAATTGTAATTACTACAAAGAAAGCTTGAGGTCCAAGCCATCAGCCTCATCTTCTTTAATTTTATCGGTTGTCTCAGAAGCACCTGCTATGTCGGTTTCAGGGCCTTTGGACGGAACTTCCTCCATGAAATCTTCCGGTCGGAACGACGGCCTCCAAGCCTGAACCGCCTTCTCTTCGGTTTCGGTGGCCTTCTTTTCTGCCCCCTTTGATTTACCTACCCCGCCGGTCATACGTTCCCTCAATTCTCGTGTGCGTCTGATCAATGCGAAGAACTTATCCATCTTCTCTCCTTCGTTTTCTATCTTCCTCTTCCTTCTTTCTCATTGATACGAACAAGAGGGACCTTATTTGAGGAACTTGTTTAGGACTTAATGACATAATTTCAATGTAATTATTTGAATATCATATTGAATATAATATTTGTCGGATACTTGAATATATGTATCGGATACGCATCATACATATCCGATAATTAATAAAATATATGGATAACTCGCAGATATTTCTAAACATAGAATAATATGTACAATTTTTTATTTTAATTTATACCTTCTCCTTTCAAGTTCACATATCTGATTTTAAAAAACGAGTGTTTTTTCAGTACTATATACTATTACAAATGAAAAGAGTATAAAAAATCAACTAGTTAAATGTTGTTCTGATTCTTTTAATTGGTAGCGCTCATTATATGGATATATCATAATGAGACGATATTATACCTTCGTCAAAGTAAAAATTTTTAATTTTGCTTACTCCTGTTAAAGAATTATTATTAAAAATTGCAATTTTTAATTCGTTAAATAACAGAAAAATATAAAATATATTTTATTATAGACATATCTTGGCCCTACACATATCCTATTTTTTTTTAAGTTTTGTCATATCTCCGTATCCATATCATATTGTACACGTATCACACATCCATATCCGTATTTCCATAATCTCGAGAGCACAAGGCATCTATTGTTTATAATATCCAAACAATAACTCAAAAGTATATAATAACCTATTTGAAATACAAAACTCAAGGATAAAAAATTTAAATCGGAGACTTGATAACAAATAACTCTATCTTATCTATAGTAACACATAATCTAATGGATATCTTGCATAAGCTAAAAATCTGGCTGGATTATTATCTCAGATGATTTGGCATTCCACTGAAAGAAGTTCACTTTCATGAAATACTTGTCTAATTGTCGGTTGTCGATAATTCTTCTTGCTAATGACAATAAGTTGCTTTAAGTTATCTTTTGTTCCCTCTTTCTATTTTGCTATTTGTTTTTGGAAAATGATATTTCAAGAGTCTACGAAGGTTTCATGTTACTTACATACTTGCACATAATTACCTGCATACATTAGAATTGTTAGGCTCCCATCAGCACAAGCACTATTACCAAAACACATGTAATCCCATTGTAGATATTGAAATTGTAGTTTTAGTTTTACCAGTCATTTCACATACACATATTGATGTAGATCGTAATAGCTCTGATACCAAATTTATGTAGATTATAATAGGAAAGAATTAGAAATGAGAAAGGGAAGAACAAGAGGATAAGAAAGGAGAGAGAATTTGAGAAGGAAGCAAAATATTCAATACCAGTCGTGAATACTAATCAAAAGTCTTCTAAATAAAACCTCTACATGTATCCCTTTATAGAGGAAAACTAAAATCCTAAACAAATAAATAATGACAAATAAATCCTTATAAATTAAAAGAAATTACTTAAAAGATAATTATTAAAAGTATTTAAATAACTATCATAATTAATCTATAATATTTATCCAATTCCTACATAATCCCCATCATTCTCCTCCTGTTGAAAAAAACTCTCATCTGGAAAGTCTTAAAAGTAAAAGTACCCTAAGAGAGCAGTATGAAGATGACATAATTTCTCATCTAAAATGAAAGAATCATCGACTTCTTTCCATTGACCAAGATAAATGCAAGAATTTCCATTTGTATGAATACCTGCGAATAAAATAGGAGGGTCTAGAGTATCTCGATTAAGGAGCATGTCCTACAAATAAAAATCTGGACTAATAATAACATTCAATGGAAAAATAAATAAATAAGCATTAGATCCAAACTCAAGAATAACAAAACAATTCTCATTAGATTTAAATAGCAGACATTCAGTGAGACAAGACATCAATGACAAAGGAGTAACTATAATACTCTGGTGTTGAAAATTAGAAAGTACAAACTCAATTGAATACTTGGTAGTAGATAAAAAATCAAAGTTAACACTCTCAAGTGGGGTAGAATCTAGAATAATGTCACCAATCTCAGATGGAAAAGAATCTAAAACAAAATCAACAATCTCATATAAAGAAGAATCCACAAAAATGTCATCATGATTCATAATAGTAGACCTAGAATAATCACCAATAGATTCTAAAATAGATAACTCAATATGTTCAACATCTTGCATAGGATTCAACTAAATGAATTTTTTCTTAAGTTCAATGATTAGTGATGATTCAACTTTTGACTCCGATGAGGTAGAAAATATGATAGGATCAAAAATAATGTCATCACTAGTATCAATGTTCAAACGATTGAAAGTATATTTTGAAGGATGGAAAGTATGAAGGTCCAATGGAACAAAAATATGGCTATCATTATGCGGGTGTCAGACATTAGGTGAAACTAGAGACTTGTCCTTATTTTTTTCTATTTGCTGACTTGCAAGAATTTTAGTCAAGTAAGAAAATTGAGTTGTTAATTCAGATAATTGATTTTTCATCCCTCTACACTTTTCACGTAATTGGCTGAGTGAATGTTTAGTATTGACAACTTCAATTTCAAATATCTCAACCTTTTTCTCTAGGGCAGTTTGGGCTTTTGAATGATCACTAATGACATTGAAGATAGATCATNTGGCTGAGTGAATGTTTAGTATTGACAACTTCAATTTCAAATATCTCAACCTTTTTTTCTAGGGCAGTTTGGGCTTTTGAATGATCACTAATGACATTGAAGATAGATCCTGATTGACCTTGATGATGACTTTGGGAAGCATGACGTTGGTAACAGTTATGTGACCTAAGTGTCCCATAGTAGTATTCTAGATAATCTTCATAATAAAACTGAAACTTACTATGGAATTTATGATAACTCCGAGAAACTCAAGGAATAAAATAGGTATAGTGATGACGCTGTGGAGGACTGTGAACTTGAGACATTCTTAATGTTGGATAAGTATATGAATATGCATCATAATGATCATATGAACTTATGATTGACTTTGAAAGATGAGAATAACATAAGAATGAGTTCAAGAATGTAAATGATAATTACAAGAAATGAGAAAATTTAAATAGANTGAACTTATGATTGACTTTGAAAGATGAGAATAACATAAGAATGAGTTCAAGAATGCAAATGATAATTACAAGAAGTGAGAAAATTTAAATAAANTGCATCATAATGATCATATGAACTTATGATTGACTTTGAAAGATGAGAATAACATAAGAATGAGTTCAAGAATGTAAATGATAATTACAAGAAATGAGAAAATTTAAATAGAAGAAAATATGTTTTGGATCATTTACAAGTTCTCTAATTTTTCAATGAATAAAAATATTAGTCTCAAATTTTATGGGAGTATGCATACCATAATCAAGAGAAAATACTAAAATTTTTTGGGGATAATTTTATAATTTTATGGATCTGTTGGAGATGTTTTTGTGATTCTAAAACTTCTGGGAAAAGATTCTACAATTTCTGGAACTTCTAGTGATGGTTTTACAACTCCTGGAACTTTATGGGGTGTTTTTGTAATTTTTAGAACAGCTAGGATATTACTGCAATTTTTTGAATCTCCTTGGGACAGTTCTGTTTTATTCTTTTTTTTTTAGCTAGCTTTTTTTTTTAATTGCTTATAGCGATGAACAGTGTTTTTCGATGAACAATAACAATGAACAGTGAATAGTGCATGATGGGCAATATATATATATATTTTTTTGGTGATTTGTACAAATCGAAGTTGGACTCTGATACCAAATTGATATATATCGTAATAGGGAAGAATTAAGAACGAGAAAGGCAAGAAGAAGGGGATGAGAAAAGAGAAAAAAATTGAGAAGGAAACAAAATATTCAATACCGGTTATTAATAATAATCAAAAGTTTTTTAAATAAAACTCTTGCATGTATCCCTTTATATAAGAAAACTAAAACCCTAAAATAAATAAATAATAACAAATAAATCCTCATAAGTTAAAAGAAATTACTAAAAGATACATATTAAAAGTAATTAAATAACTGTCATAATTAATCTATATTATCTATCCAATTCCTACACAATCTCCGTCACATATCCCTCGAAGGTTGTGGAGAGAATTTTTTTTTTTTTACTTCTTTTCTCCCACCTTTTTTGTTGTGTTTTGCTCCACATAATTATATATTTATTTTTTCCACAAACTGATTTCCCATGCATTCCAGATTTTGCAGATGACTTTTTTGTTGTTGTGTTTTGTTCCACATAATTATATATGTTTTCCACATACTGATTCCTGTGCATTTCTGATTTTGCAGATGAATTCTTGATGTAAGGANTATATTTATTTTTTCCACAAACTGATTTCCCATGCATTCCAGATTTTGCAGATGACATTTTTGTTGTTGTGTTTTGTTCCACATAATTATATATGTTTTCCACATACTGATTCCTGTGCATTTCTGATTCTGCAGATGAATTCTTGATGTAAGAAACAAAGCTTGAGCATATACCTCAATTCCCTGTTTCTGATTATGTCGAATAAAGCATTCACTTGAGGTCGACTTGTTGCCTTTGATTAGTTGGAATCTGCTCATCTGCAGACCCTTGCATAGTGGTTTGATGAGTTGTCTGTTTCTATTTCTGTTTCTGTTATTACTAAAATTATCTTCCAACAGCCACTTCGGCAGATTTACTTGTGCCATGTCAAACCAGAAGCAACGTGATCTCGGTGTAATTGCAACTTGGAAATGATCGATAACTAAAGGAGGACGATATAGAAGAGGAACAGAGAAAAACTCATGATTGGGCATTGATCGTTATAAAGTGTCCTATGGCAAATTAATATATTTTGAAGAAAATGGTGTCAAATGTGGATATGGATTTCTGGGGAGTCCACTAGGTATCCTAGGCTTAGTTGTTGATTATTCTTGGCTGAATTACTTCATTAACCTACTCCATTTTTGGTCTTTCCATATTTTGAAACAGTTCACCAATTAAGATGGTGGATTTTTTGCCCAGAAAAATGGCTTTATGAGAATCGAGCATCTAAGATTAGGCCGCTTCATCCTCGTGATTAACAAGATCTAGGATTTTGAGCAGTGATGTGATCGAATTTTGGCCCATCGCTTCTTATCGAATGACTGATTGCCACACAGCAAGATTTGAATTTTGCTCATATATCATGAAGCATTGCTACCAATACTACAAGGTCATTTCTGCTCGTTCCAACTACTAACACTATTTAACTGTTAGCAAACCACATGTGAATTAAGTAATCTGCACTAGAAACCAAGAGGCACATACTAATGATGGCTTAGAGGTGTGATTTTTGGGAAAAACAAAACATGAATTTGAGAATATTTCATGATTACAACAATTTTTTGAAAAACTTCTTGTCCGACACTTCATCCTAGAGAGAGAGAGAGAACCCTCTACCTGCAGCAGTTCACTCTAGTTCATCCTCATCTTGTTCATCTTCATCATCAGTGAGCCCTACAAATCACCAAACACTTGGTAGATTTAGCATCTTGTAGAATTTTTTTTTAACATAATGCTTTCAGGATTAACAAAAGCCTACATCGACTTGTATTTATGATGCTTATTTGTAATTCCCCTAGTGTTGATATATGTATCAAATGAAATCTATACTCGCATGTAATTTCCATTATTTCGTTATGAGCCCCGTAATTACCAGAGCAACGCTGATCAAAGAAGCATTCATGATTGCTTAGGAGGAAAGTTCCTGTGCTCATTTTGTATGCTGATAAATCTCCATCAAAGAAATTCTGATAAACGGAACATGGGCTTTGCTGGATCATTTCTTCTTCAGTTGGTGTATCTTCAAGATTGTTGTACACAATACGAACACCACACTGCTTCACCTTAAAACAACCTGACATGTCTGTTGAAACATTTATTTTGCTGCCACCTTTGAGCTCCTTCCCTAACCTCCAATGGCTTAATTGTAACATATCTTCATTTGCTTTCGGAAGTGCCAAGCACAGTGGTTCATAGATCCACTTCTGGCCAGTGGTCTTATTATCAATTTCGAGAGTATGCTCCACAATCCACCTTCTGTCACGTTCAAGAAGTGCATACACAAAGCATATACTCAAGCCTTGTATCTCAAAATTGAGAAGTGAAGGCACAGTAAAATCTATTGAGGACCCCCGTACACATATGGCTGAAGAACTCTGGTACCTCGCTTTCAGAAAGAAAAGTGCTGAATATACCAAATTCATACAAATCCCTGCGTCACGGGCACCATGTTGTTTAATTCACATTCAACATGCGCATAAACATATAGACTCTCACAACGTGTGCACAGACATACACGCGCGGAGAGAGAGAGAGAGAGAGAGAGAGAGAAAAGCACTTGGGCAGGACCTTTGTTTTCCAGCTGTGTCAGGTGATTGTACAATTCCACCTCACAGTTTTCTGTGGATTCCAAATCAGTTAAACCCAAATCGTTGATTATTTTCAGAATGGTGTTTCCAATGGGCTCTGGCTTGAATTTTCCCTCAACCTCAACTAATTTGGGACAGTCATTTATTTTAGGGCGTAACTCGGACGGATTGGACAATCAACTCTAGTNAGGTGATTGTACAATTCCACCTCACAGTTTTCTGTGGATTCCAAATCAGTTAAACCCAAATCGTTGATTATTTTCAGAATGGTGTTTCCAATGGGCTCTGGCTTGAATTTTCCCTCAACCTCAACTAATTTAGGACAGTCATTTATTTTAGGGCGTAACTCGGACGGATTGGACAATCAACTCTAGTTCAACTCTAACTATAAAATTTTTAACTTTAATTCTAACCTTAATCCTATCTCAAGTTGGGGAACTCAACTCGAGCACTGCCCGAATTTAATTCAGACGGGCTTGGGTTGGGTAGAGCCTANTTCCAATGGGCTCTGGCTTGAATTTTCCCTCAACCTCAACTAATTTGGGACAGTCATTTATTTTAGGGCGTAACTCGGACGGATTGGACAATCAACTCTAGTTCAACTCTAACTATAAAATTTTTAACTTTAATTCTAACCTTAATCCTATCTCAAGTTGGGGAACTCAACTCGAGCACTGCCCGAATTTAATTCGGACGGACTTGGGTTGGGTAGAGCCTAAAATAGACTTGTTGTTCTAAACCTAATACATATATTACATAATATTCACCTAAATTAACAACTAATAACTTCAACCAAGTTTTTAACAAGAGAGGTTGAGAGAACGAGAGAAGTAAAGAGAATGAGAGAGACAGAAAACAATAGAACAAAAATAAAAAATCAGTGTTAATGCTTTATATATATATATAATTTTTTTTTAAATTTGTCTGGTTTGAGTTGATCTCAGGTTCACAAGACCTTAACCCGAGCTCAACCCAAATTGAATTTGGGTTGAAATTTTTTGACTCAACTCCAACCCAAGTATTAAAAATACTTACCCAATCCCTAATTTTTTCGGGTTGGGCTCGGGTTGTCCGACCCAAATTGCACCCCTAATTTATTTCTAAGTTTAGTGAACTACCCCAGTTGGGTAAATTTGTTATTCTTCCAATGATGTGCAATTTTCTACATTTAAACCCTTCAAGTTCAATGGAAGCTTGGGAAGCGATATAAGATTTGAACAAAAATCTTAGCGCAGGATTTTGAGCATTGTGAGATGCTCGATACTCTCAGGCAGGCTGCCCATTGGATTTGTGCCAAGATCCAACCTCGCCAACATTGGAAGGCCACTTAGATCCTTTGGAATCACTTCATCGCATAGATTGCAATCCCAAAGACTTAATATTACTAGAGACCGCGGCAAAGGAATCCATGAAGCATTTAGACTTCTCCTTGGTTTCAATATCCAGTACCAGAAGATTTTTTGCAATGAATTTCCCTCTCGAATAGGAGAGTTCAAGAGACTTGTAGTTGTTCTATTTGCATGAAGTACTGTCAATGAATACAATTTCTCTAAGCCCGCAGGCAACTTTTCAAGCTTTGAGCAACCAGAGAGAATGATATTTTGAAGAGATTTTACCTGACCAATTCTTCTAGGGAGCTTCCTAAGACTCTTGCAGTTTTTTAGATTTAAAATAAGAAGTCTCTGTAGATCTCCAATGGATTCATGAACCTCAACCAAACTTATGCAATTTTTAAGTATCAATCTCTCAAGCCTAGGGAGTCCTGAGAAGTCAGGGGTATCAGTAAGGCCATGGGAATAACTAAGATTGAGGATTTTCAATGACTCAATAATCTGAAACAGAAGAAGAACAGAGAGTTACAGGAACAAATAAAAACTTAATAAATAGAAACGCAAAAAAAAAAAAAAAAGAAGGAAAACAGAATTATACCCTCGTTCTCTTCCAGAGATGTTTTAAGCTACTATTGCACATATCAAGAACGACCACGCCTTGCAGAGAAAGTTCATTGGGTATGGATTCTAAACAAGATCCACGCCAACACAACCACCTTAACATCTTCGGAAATTCTTTATATTCTCCACTGAATTTTATGTAATTGAGATGGAGAAGCTTGAGATTGTGCATCTTTGCAAATGAATAAACTTTCAAGTCTACCTGAACTGGTGCAGGAAATAATTTTGTCAAAGAAGTGGTCATTGGAAGCTTCAATGAATTGCCTTGGCACTATAGCATCAGATTTCTAGCTGTTTCATGGCCATATTGTTGATTTCGACTATGAACATAAAAAATAGTCTTACCTTCCTTCAACATAAGCATGTCCAAGACAAGGCCCTGAATAGTTTGTGTGCCCTGAAAATGAATAACATTGGACAAATAAAAACAATTCATGCAGAGAAGCATAAAATTGATAATAAAAAAGCATTATTTTGTCTTCTTTTTTCTTTCTGGGCAAGAGGGGGGAGTGTTTGCTTCGGTTCTTTTAAAAATGTTGGAGTATAGATAGTCTAGGTTTATTAGGATTTCTTTTCCTAGGTTTATTAGGATTTCTTTTCCCTTTAGGATTTCTTTTACCTTTTTTACCCTTATTATGATTTTTATATTTTGCCTATATATACGGGGTTTTACTCTTAATTTGAGTATCTCCTTTTACTCATAATTATTTCAAGTAAAAAGAAGCATGTTTCTTACAGTCCAGCTACGTCTCCCAGCTTCCTTAGGTGATTCTCGACGAACAATTTCTCTTCCCATGTCTTGAAGTAGTTGATGCATCATCAGCTTATTTCCAATATCAAGGTATAGAAGACATCTATCCATAAGGTTTTCAAGTCCAGCTATTGTGAAAAAATTACATTTATCTAATATTGTAACCACATAATCTTTGCCATATCCCTCAAAAAAGCAAGCAATATGGAGGAATAGATCCCAGTCATGATCATCGTGTAAAGATTCATAACTGATCTTAAGTTTATGCTGTATGTTGTTGTCAGAAATAATTTCCAGTTTGTTTAATGCACTGCGCCATTCCTCTATACTATTGCTTACTGAAAAAGAGGATCCTAAAACTTGAAGAGCTAAAGGAAGCCCTCCACAATGTTGTACTACACATTTTGAGTGTTCCAAGTAATCATCAACAGGATGGTCTTGTCCAAATGCATGCCAGCTGAAAAGCTTAAGTGATTCATCATCATCCAGTTCTGTAACTATATACATATTATATACTTCATGAGCCATTAACAATCACTCATTTCTAGTTGTTATGATTATTTTACTTCCCGGGTAAAACCAATCTTGCATTCCGAAAACTGCATTTATTTGTTCTGACTGATCGACATCATCGAGTATGACAAGAACTTTTTTGCAGCATATTGCATCTTTAATCATTGTAATTCCTTCAGCAACGTTATATATCTTTTCCTTTCTTCCCTTCAAAATATCCGAAATGAGTTGTCTTTGTAAGCGAACCGTNGATCGACATCATCGAGTATGACAAGAACTTTTTTGCAGCATATTGCATCTTTAATCTTTGTAATTCCTTCAGCAACATTATATATCTTTTCCTTTCTTCCCTTCAAAATATCCGAAATGAGTTGTCTTTGTAAACGAACCATACCATTGGATTGTTTTGAAGTTTCTCTAATATTTGAAAGGAAACTGCTACCTTCATATCTATCAAAGTTCAAGTTATAAACAGTTTTGGCAATGGTTGTCTTCCCTATTCCGCCAATCCCACATATCACCCCTATTACAATGTCGTTTGACTCATCCCTCAACCAAGAATTAATACTCTGAGCTCGAGATTCTACTCCAATTGGATAGCGAGCAACATTCAAGACCATACGATTTAGTTTACTCCATAAACCTTGAACAATTTTTTGAATGAATTTTGACTCATGCCTGCAAATTGCAATTGAAAGAATAGTCATAACCAAATACTCGTGTTTTACAAGGATATAACTTAAAGGAAGTTTCTCATCAAACCATTGAGCCAGACACCCTGGATTCCTTAGTCATGCCAAACAGTTCGGGGATTAACAAGAAGAGTTTTAACAAGATCTTGTACCGTATGTAGTATAATAATGTCAGAATATGAGTCAACTGTTATGAACATAGAATTGTTGGTATTTATGGACAAATTGTGGGTTATAATAGTGACTTTTCCTAAAAATTGCAATGACCTCCTAGATTGTTTAATAGCTTCTCGTAATTGTGACCTGATATTTTCTCCTCTCTCAATGTCAATATCAGCTCTAAATGTGTGAATTCCAGCATGGACCAAAGCTGTATAGAGGTGATTAATGAAAGTCTTGCCAAGTTCTTTACCTACAAAACTTAAGAAGACAAGGTAAGTGCACCGAGATGTGGATGAAGATGACTCGGGGGCTCCCCCAACAGCCATGAAATTAACCTATGGGAGATGAATGGTCTAAAGATATGCAACTTATTGAGCACCAAATACATATATAGAAAGATCGATGAATGCAAAGTCAGTGTAA